GATTGTATCACACTGAATTGTTAAACCATTACAATTGTATCACACTGAACTGTTAGGCTATTATGATTGTATCACACTAAATTGTTAGGTCATTATGATTAAATCACACTAAATTATCTATGTTTTTTTTTTTCTGTTTGCTAGATCATATGAAGGAGCACAATGTAGGAGTGACCGTTGGATGAGAAAACGTGACGTCATGCCTACTTGTTACCAATATGTCTTGCAGTTTGTACCAAGTATGTTTGTTTCTTTGTTTCTATGTGCAGATTGAGCATTATTTCTACAAGCCCAAAGACCACATGCCTTTTAAGTTAAAATAACGAGTGTGCGATTCATGTGCAGCATTAACTAATCACCATTTTAGTTTAAACTTTATGACATTGAAATTAGACATCATATATACACAGTAGATAATACAAAAAGGGTCCGAAAACAAGTTTTACAACTTTTATCTCAGATAAGTGCATATAAAAAACATCAAGTATGTATCTAATAAATTTTATTGTGGCGAAAATTGGGCACGGCTGTTTATCCAGAAAAACAAATTATGAAAAGCTATTGGTGTCCCTGGCAACACAACAAAGCAAATATTACACATTAAATATTCAATCTCAGGTTCAAAGTTCAAAGGTTTAAGTTCACAAGCACTATATCAGAAGGTGGTAAAAGCCTTGACCCTGGGAGGTGCAGATATTTATATTTCTTTATATTTAGTACTTATTTATGTATATCTAAATCCAAAGTTTACTTTTCAACTTTCATGACTTACATGACTGCATATAAGTATAGTTACTTAGTGCCGCTCGTTAACGCACATCTCAGCTGGAAAGAAACGGACAGCCGTACCAGATACTATAAATCCACATTATTGTTCAATGTTTGCAGTTAGAGGAAAATTATTGGCTCCTGGAAATGGTGCATGACTTGCTCTTGGTATGAATCACTTCCTTATAAATGGCTGTTCTTCGCATCACTTTCACATTAAATGTCTTGGAAGTCCAGAATGCTGTGAGTCCACAAAGATACGTGTGGTTCAATCCCCCTGGCAATGGCTGTTCCCTAAGATCCTGGTTTCATCTCGTAAATCATGTCATGATGAGCGTGATATTCACTGTACATCAGTCTTTGTCTGAAAGCATAAAAAAAAAACAGAAAAGCAGTATCTATTCTAAATGGGTGAGGTGGGTGGTTGTTATAAATTAAAAATACACAATAACAAGCTGGAATATTTTTACCGACCCAAGATGATGCTGGAATATTGAAAAAGGAAGTTGCAACCAAAGCGACCTCAGGTGTTTTTTTTATTAAAAGGGGGGATAATGAACTAAAATATTTGACAAGAACGATAATCACTAGGAATAAGTACTGAGATTTAGGTAAAGCATTTAAATATGTACTTCCTTCGATAAAAGCAGCTAATTCACAGTGAATTAGCTTTGAATAGTATTTATCCGTTTCCTTTAAATAAATCACCAAATCGGGTCTCATTCATGGGCGTCGGAAGCAAATTGAATGTTAGGGGGGGCTAATAGAAAGTGTGTGTATGTGAGGGGATCAACAAATAAAGGTAAATCCAAATTACCACTGTCTATCTATGGTTAAGGCCCCCTTCCTCCGGTATCGACTCCTATGTCATTTTAACAACATATAACGATTCTTTAATTTGAACATCTATCGTATGTACTATTCATTTTTTAAAAAAAAGTTTTAATGCGCTTAAAAGCATTCTTATAAAATTCTCTTTTAATTGTATTTAACAAATGTACGTCTCTCTAAGATTCAAAAGTAAGTAAACCAATGATGATATATTGTGTTACATTAACATTTAGAGGCTGATGTACCAAAGCTGAAATAAATCAATAAATTCTTAAAAATGTCTTAGAGTCAGATATTTTCTACTTTGAATTTTACAAAATTCCTTATTACTAATTTCATTCAGTTTGAGTTGATAGCTAATAAAAACACTGTACAATATCATAACATAACAGGCAATAACTAAATTAAAAATAGAACACCTTTCATTGTTAAATTTTAAATTGCAATTTCAAAATAAACGTTTTTGACAATTCATGAAAATTCATATGAACTTCAATAAAATCGATACTTAAACAATAATGAGATCTAGAATACGTAACAGTTAGCCAATCACTTTTCAGATATTGATTATGGTACGATATATATATATATATATATATATATATATATATATATATATATATCTGGCTGTTGAAAGACCATTTAGCAGAATTTCACAGATTAGCATGAACGCGGCAGAGTTTTTTTTTCGCAAAAAAAAAAATAATGAGCAATCAGTGGGTTATCACTTTAATTGTAGGCTTCTTAGCCTTATCTAAAGCTACCTTTATTTCTAAGAAATATACAGCGAAACTCGTATTCAATGATAAGAAGTCAAACTATGAACTTTTCGGGGAACACAATGCTCATTCCTTGATCGAGTGCGCCACAATCTGTCAAAGGGAGTGCAGCTTCTTTGGCTTTAACTCACAAACGAAGAAATGCCGTACCCACAAGGAAAGTCTTACATCTGGGCTGTCTGATGAGGCCGGTTGGAGATACTACTCGGATAACGGTATGTATTTTTTTTTTAATTTCATTCTTTTAGCTTCTTTTCTTAGGTCTTTCTCGAAAGGACACGATTTTTGATCAAGTTTGATACGATAGACAGTGTTGGAAATCATAGTCATTGTAACACCCAAGAATCTACGAAATGTTCAATTTCACATACATTGTATCATGCATAAAAAGGATATCCTGATTTTTATTTCATTTTTCAACATCTGTTTCAGTGTCTAACACTGCACGAAAAACCACCTTTTGTATATCCAAAAGGTAAACAAAAGGCCACATTTCATTCACCTTTTGACACCTTTCATGCTCCTTTAATTTTTCTATGAAAGGTACAAAAGATCAAATTTTGATCAGCTTTTGGATACAAAAAAGATATCCAAATGGCCCACTTTTATACACCTTTTTTGCATTAAAATACAATATTTTATCCATCTTTTTGAGAAAAATGTTGTCTTTTTTCACCTTTTCATATTACAAAATTTGATCTTTTCTGTAACTTTTTTATTAAAAATATCTTCTTTTTTATACCTTTCAGATTTTGATAGATCTACTTTTATAAACCTTTTCAAACTAAAAGCTCATCTTTTGCAACTTTTGCAGATCTTTTGATTTAACAAAATTTCAACTTTTATGCAGCTATTTTATGTCAACAAAACCTGTTTAACCCCTAAAGCTCCACTTTAACATGGTGTTCAAAGCTTTTAAATATCTTTTCCCATGTAAAAATAAAACAGCTTTTAAATATCTTTTCCCATGTAAAAATAAAACAAAACATTCGGGCAACATTTTTCATCAGTTTAATGGTATAAAAAAAGTACTGTGATCCATCAGCTTGATTAAGGACACACATAAATTTAAGTATCATATATTAAATAATCTCATTTAAAATTTTCATACAAATAAACAGAGAAAACAGAGAAACAAAATAATAATAAAAAAAAAATTAAATAAAGCATTGAACTATCAAGTGTGGGACTTTGATGGAATATCATAACTAAAATTTAGTACGCTGATGCCTTTGTCCTAATCAGATTTATAAATTAATGATGCTGTTATAGAAGGCATATTATTGGGTTACATATACTGCCTAAAAATCAAGCAAATTTCAATAATCCAGACTGCATGTATAAAAAGGTGATTTTTCCCTATAAAATTCATTGATACAGTTGTATTAATTGTCTTCATAAACTTCAACGTTTGTTTCATACTGTCAGTGTTACAATAATAATGATATTATTTTAAAAATATATATAATAGCACTTGTTTCGAACTAAACGGACATTGCAAATTCATGGATATATCAAAGATTTCTTAAATCCCCAACTGTATAAATTTTAGGAATTCCTTATACGGATACAACAAATTATGCATATAGCGAAATAAATTTACAGCAACTGTTGTCCTATTGACTTTGTTATAACCAAGTTTTACTGTATAATTATTTACATATAATCATCTGTAATTAAACAAATAAATAAAGATCTTGTTAATTTAACCAAATTAAAAAATGGATCAAGATTTTGTGAAAAATTATTTAAATTGGGAAAAAATAAAAAAAAAAGAAAGAAAATTCTTTTACATTATAGTAAATTTTCAGTTTAAAAATGTACATTTAGAAAATAAATGATGTGTATACATACATGTAAGGTTTCTTTAACAGCAGAATAATGTAAAAGAGTAGTAGATGTAGTCATGTATTAAGATGGATTTTTCATTCAAAAATGCCAACAGAAATAAACAGAATGAAATGCTTTTCTTATTTTTAAATTTTCTTATTTTCTAATTTAATCTTTTTTTAGCATCCACAAACATTCCTCTGGAATAGTAGGGGGCTCCTTTACGTGACTACTCCCAACGTTTGCTCTTCACGGAGCAGGTCTCAAGATATACATTGTCCAAGGTACTCTTGACCTTGGCAAAGGTGTCACTCTGCCAAGATGGGGGATGAGTAACAAACCCCTCCTCACACTCCTCGTCACTGGACATGTATTCCACCTTCAATATTTAAAATATTTGCTCTGCTCGGTTTGCCAACCCTTGTTTTTCAGATGTTCTAGAGCCCGAGTCCTGGGCTTTGCTTTCTGAGAAAGATAATAAATATGAATTAAAAGCTAGCAAGAGAACAGCAATCTTGAGTACCGCCATGTATATATGAATTAAATTATGTTACATATGCAGTACTAATTCAGAGACAATATATATGTATACACATGTAAACACAATACACCTATCTGCAGTTAGAAGTAATTTTGAATGATTATTGTCATTTAAGAAAAAAGAATATGTGCTGAATAAATCATTTTATTTTTAAAGAATCATGTTTAAATGGTATTATTACCTCCTTCTTCCTCTCATACAGGACTCTCTTCTGCTTCTGATCTTGCAGCTTGTTCTTCTTTGATAAAACATGTTTTTTGGACAGGAAATATCTTTGTAGACCACCTTGATAACAGAAAATAATTATTCCTTAATACATGTAAAAAAAAATAAATCATGTAAATATAATTAAAAACACAGCTACATACATATGTTAGCAAAACACACATGTAAATTGTTCTTCCATTTAAACTTACATTGAATTATCCTCTACCCGTTCACTTGGGGGCACATGATTTTTTTCCTCCCTGGAAACCTCTCCTTCGTGCTCTTTATATTCTCCAGGACTTTGATCCTCTCCGGGATTTCATTTTGTTGCTTGAGATAAGTGTGTCAAGAACACTTCTTAATGCTAAAATGAATAATTCAAAACATTTTGTCAACCAATTTTGGATGATGACATATTACACTTTTAACTTCATATTAAAATCTGAATTTAACTTAATGAGTTGTACTGTGATATATTGTGAAAGAATGTCAAAAAACCTTGTGTCAGTACTTTATAGTGATAAAAAATATCAACTATTTACACAGTCCCTGACATTGCTTATTTTTCCTATGTAAAAAAAACCCATATATACCTATTAATACAGATCTGGTGTTGATTTTTTTTATGTAGGAAAAATGTTACTGTCATTTAGCTAGGCATTTATGTCTATTTATAAGGAATAATTAAAATAATAATTAAAATATATGTAAAAATTTAACTTTTCATTTGTATTGACTATATAAATATATATTGCTAGATAAACCCAATATTTATTTTTTTTTTCTGGAAGTATTACCTGTTTTTAATTATAATATCATACATACAGTTATATGAATTCCTATTATAGTATCAAAGTGACATAAAAATATAGAAATATCAGATAAAATAGCGTTTGACATAAAATTTAAATAAATTCTGTATATTTTCTGAAAATTTCTGCTAATGCAGAATTTTTTCTGCCCCTTGAATGATTGTAACTTATGTGCGCACTCCATACGTTATAAATAAATGAGTGCCACAGAGGGGGGGGGGGTTAAAGGAATGTCGGATCACATTGATCTACTTGCATTTACTCTCTCCACGCACACGTGTGTCGTTTTTTCAGTGTTGACTGTGTTTTCCTTTTTTCCCCTAATGGTGTTGAGAAACCTGGCGTTTATGCACTTCATGGTCGGGCATCATGGTGTTACCGTAGCTACAGCGTCCTAAAAACGAAAGTAGATAGAATCAGAAATATTCGGAACTCATCGCACTGCATCTTCCGAAAGTTTGCATTCCACATTGTTTTCGGACTTTTCGCATTTTGGAAAACAAAAGGTGAAGTTATTTTAGAAAAAGGTGAAACAGTTCGAAGACCATTTTAATTATTAGCTAATAAGTTAGAGATGATTCCCTCTGATCATTTGTTTTGAACATATACGATTTCGAAACTATTCAGCTAACATTCAACTCGAGAATCCTCTATCACAGTGTATCAGCTGTCTGCACAACTTCGATACATCATTGCGCCATGGTTCATTGTAAAAAGAAATTATACAGACGTTTCTAGGCCCAGTGAATCATATATTTGTGAGCGAAGTAAATGTTCTACAGCTGTATATTTTAGAAAAATAAAACATTTATAATGTGAAGACGTTCAACAGTCCAAATTACCTGACACTCTCGTGCACCATTTTCCTCCTCCGAAGATTCAAAGATGGGTGGCGGATATGAAAACCGGCGCCTTTTTGGTTTGGATACGTACTCCTGTCCCTGTTTTGAGGTAGAGGGTTTTTCAGATTGTTTGTTTTCACTTTTAGATCCATCATCACTATAAATTCAATGCTATCAGAATCGAAACATTGACTCATACTGATGCTGATTATATCTTGTCCATGACAAAACATTCAAACGATTGGAAATCCCGCGCAGCAAAATAAACCGGAAATTTAATTAGGCATCTATGCATCTTGCAGGAACTCCTGAAACCCCATCCCAAGGTATGACATCACCCATCCCATGTGCTTTGCAAGGGGAAAGTTTTGGTCAGGGAACAAAGGTAATATAAGATTTTGATTAAACATGAAAGCTTAGTGTAATTTTTTTAAAAAGTTATTTTTCTAGACTTAAATTTAAAATCTAAAACAATTTTAACCTGGATCAAAATATAAATAATCTGATTGATTTTGTATCGCTTTTGTACATGCAATGCATGTATCCGTGCATCCATTTTGAAGCTTCGAGGCAGCAGAAAAGCCAGAAAAAGTCCTTAGCAAGGGAATAACAAAAAGATGTATATGATTTATTATAGGGTCATTGCATATTTCTGTTATTGTATGTCTATTTGTTAGAATATCAGGACTCACAGTGGCTGTAGGTCTTGGGGGTAGGCTAGCTCAGTAAATGGAGCATTTGACAAGTTATACAGGGGTCTAAATTGATGATCCAGTAATAAATTATATATGTTTTCCTTCTACACCTATAAATGCTAAAAAAAAATGTATTCAGTGACAGAAGTGAGTCATAGACTTTGTTAATTTCAGCTGTACACATACATTGCAATTAGAATAGATTGTATTATATCAGCATGTTTATATTTTTGTGAAGCACATAAACATATAAAAAATTATTTTTATAGGTTAATTTGGGCAAACACGGAATTGAAGCAAGGAATACTGCCATAGGAAACGTGATGAAGACAGAGAAAAAAGGAAACAGTTGAGAAAAGCAAGTACAAAAAATCTCATGTCTTTGCACTGCATCATCATGTCTCACAACACTACATTACATTCTTCATCAACTGAACCATGATCACCAAAACCATCAGAAACCACTTCTACTGCAAGGAGTACTTAAAAAAACAAAAACTTAATAACATTCACATCCAATCCTCTCTATGTCCGCTTCAAGGAATACACCATGCTAAAAAAAGAGTGAATGGTATATATATATATATATATAAACAATATTTTCAAATTAAAAGGACTTATCTATGATGTATTACAATAATGTCTTAAATATAGGGATTTACATGCAGTGATGGAATCCTCGTGCCAATTTGCCATGGAGAGGTGTTTTCAGTTGAAATGATCCTCTAGCCGGGCAGATATGGAGAGGTGACCAAGACACAGATGTTTTTGTTAAACTACATTTACTTAAAGTATCTATGATATATAAATAAAAATGTCTTAAATGTAGGGATTTACATGCAGTGATGGAATCCTCATGCCAATTTGCCATGGAGAGGTGTTTTCAGTTGAAATGATCCTCTAGCCGGGCAGATATGGAGAGGTGACCAAAAAAAAAATTACAATGTATTTGTTAAAAAATTACTTTTTATAATGTGAAAACTCTTTAATGACTACTTTGTAAATCAACATCCTCTCACCAGTTTGCTGTGAAGAGGTGTTTTCAGTTCAAATAATCCTCTAGCTAGGAAGTTTTGGAGAGGTGAATAACAGTATTTAACTAAACATGCTGTCAGAGTTTCTTTAATTTACCTTTATTATATCATATCCATTTATGAACTTGAAGTAGAATCCTAACTCAGTATTAAAATATATTGACTGAAATATTCTTAATTTGTCATGGTTATATAAAAATATTTTGTTTCAAGTCACTATGATTAATTAATTCTTATTTCAATTTTGTCTTGCAGAAAATGGTATACCCGGTAACACCTTGGAATGCAGATGAAGAGCTTTTGTCGTGACAATCTTTTAAAATTATACCAGCAGAAATTTTTGTCTTGTTTGCATATTTTTTAATGCTAAGATTCACTATGTCTAAAAGAGAAATATGTGTTACATATATTTAACACGATTTAAGCAAAAGCGAGTTGTAAAGTTTAAAGTGCTTTTGTGTCCATTAAGCTTTCTATGTTTTAATGATTACACGATGTAAATATCTTGCAGTATACCTTGATTTTATCTATAAATTTGTCATTTGACAAAAAAGTAACAACAAATCTTTTTTTATTCAATTAAAAAAGTTTATTTATGATATTTTGATATGGAAAGTAAATGTTTTAAAAGAGAAAAGATGTATATTTAACTTTTCAGTGAAAAAAGGTGAATGGTGAACTTTTATTATTTCAAAAGATTAAAAAAGATGAACTTTAACAATTGTAAAAAATGGAAAGATGATATATAATCAACTTTTCAGAGCAAAAGGTGAATGATCAACTTTTAATATTACAGAAGATGAAGAAAGATGAAATTTTGTTCACCTTACCAAAATTTAAAGGTGAAAGTCAACCTTTTGATGTGAAAAAGGTGATGAAAGATAAAGGTTCATCTTTTGTAAACATTTTGTAAACTATTAAATATTATAAAAGGTGACTTTTCGTGCAGTGTAAATTGTTTATCATCTTATCTACACATGTATTCCTCTTTTACTTTTCTTTCAAATAACAAAGAATTGAAAATGATTGTATTAAATTTTCTAATATTTTTAATCATGTCCTTAATCAAAGATTTGTATCAAATAGAAAACAAGAATGATTTAGATAATGATGAACTGTTTGACATACATGGTACACATTGTAAATGTAGTTAATGTTTTAGCTCCAACAATTAACGTTCATATATCATGCAGGCATCATATATCCTCTCACTTCTTGTACATATACATTGTATGATTCTGGTATTATTATTTTTTTTTTTTTTTTTTTTTTTAGATTTTTCTAGCTTGCCCAAAGATTGCAAGGATCTTCGAGAAAACGGACAAACCATCACAGGGGTGTATGATATATACCCCTACAGTACATTAATAATGCCAATAAATGTTTACTGCGATATGACCACAAATGGTGGGGGATGGACGGTATGTTGTTTATTCTAAAATTAAAAATACATAATATATTGTAAAATAAAAATTAATATGAATATTTTGAGTTAATATCGTAATAAATGATTGTTCGAAGCTATAAATTGAATTGTTACGCATGTTAATTTTCAAAGGCCATTCAGAAACGCGTAGACGGATCCGTGATCTTTGACAGAAACTGGACGGAATATAAAAATGGTTTCGGTTCACCGGAACAGAATGTCTGGGTTGGTAAGTATAAATCGCTTTCAAATAAAAACTTTTTATCCCTTCTTAGTTTAAAGATAAAACATTCATGTGATAGGTGAAAAATAAAAAGCGTAATTAAGATTTGAATTTAAGACTAGGTAATATGTGTTCTACGATATTCACATATCGTACTTAATTGATATATATCTCAAATAATTGATTTTAAATATATCTTAATACAGGAAATGACGTAATCCATCAATTATCAAAAGAAAACTCATCATCCCTTTATGTGTCTATCACTCTCGAGAATGGTACAACGCTGTATGAAATGTATGATGGATTTTCTGTCTCCGACGAAGCTGGAAAATATCAACTCTTTCTTGCAGGACCTGCCACGGGGACCCTAGGTAAATGTATTCAGGTTTAGTTCTTAAAATTTGGTTTAAATTATGTATATCATCATGATTATTCTTTTCTGTATAAACAGATTATAAGTTCTTGAAAAAAGAGAAAGATGTGTTTTTTCTTATATTCTGCATACGTTTTTGATTCCACGCTAATTAAACATGTCTAATATTTCAGAATATCATTTGTAGGTACAATTCACATATTCAGCAGATATCGATTTTGTTATTGTCAAGTAGATAAAATTTCTAATTATACATCTTATGTACAAGGAAAAATTATGCTAATTTTTTAACAAACAAATCCAATAATTACATTTGTTCAACATTGCTTTTCAGCTTGGGTTCCTGATAATTTTTGATAATTCACATTTTAACTAATACAGAAAAAGTTTACAATAATAATAATTAAATAATAATCTGATTTTCAATGATCCACATTTTTTACTACTACTGAATAAGAAGTTTACAGTGCGTCATTAATTTTAAATGTCGACAGGTTTACGAAAATTTGATGATAAAAAATATTTGATCGGATAAATATTCAAATAAAAAAAAGCTTAAAAAGCCAAATTCAAAAGACCTTTACGCGTTTAACATTTACATTTATTTAATAGGAAATCTACCATCTTATAACATTCACAGATACACCATATCTTATCTCGTTATTTATGGTTTACTTAATATTGCATGTTATACATGTTTGAAGGCACGTTCTCGGACAAATATTAAAATTTCATTTTTTCATATTTTCTAAAATTTCAAATGACCTTTAACCCCCCCCATAATACCATGCTTAAAAGTGTAACAGGTCTGTTGTTTATTGTTACACTAGAAGGATGCTATGTGAATTGTGTAGTGTTTTGTACTTCAGTATTAAGATTAATTTGATGTAAATTAATAATTATTATCTCTGTTATATATTTTCTCTAACTGTGCAGGTACCAGTATGATAGACATCGGGGATTCAATGACTAAACTAAATAAATATTATCGCTCTACCCAGCACCTAATGCCGTCTATCTTAGAAGTACCTCAGTATTATTATTGACAATTAGATTAAAAATAAATAAATCAATTAACTTTGTGATTCTTTTTGTTTGATTTTACAGGGGACAGTATGTTAAATACAGGTTTTATTTTACCACGATCTGTCTGGGATGTTCTTCTCCACCCAGACAGAGATCACGACGAGTATAGTGTATATAAATCTACTGATCTATTTTAAACAAGTGTCCATGTATATTTTTTTTTAATTCTACAGGAGACAGTATGTATGACACCGGTAATCGTTACAGAGATCTGTCTGGGATGTCCTTCAGTACCCCAGACAGAGGTAACGACAGATCTGGAGGTAACTGTGCTGCTGACAGTAACCGTAGAGGAGGCTGGTGGTTCAACTGGTGTCACCAGGCCTTCCTTAACGGTCAATGGTCCCCGGAGTCCTGGTACAGACCATGGTATCCCACAGTAGAGTGGGGGACATCAGTGAGGGGGACCACCATGATGGTCAGACGGAACTAGGTAAACATCATTAAATCTTAATATCAATTTTTTTCTTTTTGTATCAATCTGAAACTTTCAGTTATAAAAGTTGTTTTTTTTAATAAAAAAAAATATGTAATGATACATTTATCTGTGAAGTATTAATTTAATTTTTTTTTAACAGACGAAAGATCATCCATGGATTATGGAAACCCCAAAGAGACGATTTTAAATTAATTTTTATCGCGCAGTTCTTTTTTTTAATATTTAACATCAAGTTACAAACAGTAAAAGAAGGTGGTTGAACGGTTCTGTAAAGCGAAACTGAATGTATTCAGTAAAAGATGTACTTTATATGTGTTGTAATAAATTTGAAAATAGAAATAACTCGTTCTTCTTCTTTTTTTCAAACACTGATAAATGGAGATAACTGGACGGGGAATTAGGATAAAGATTACTTTATTGTTAAACCTATTACAGTGGAACCTGTTTAATCCGACACATGCAATACTCTTTACTGTGATTTCAGCCATTTAATTCAATTTCTCATTTATAATTATCTTAATGATCTTTACACGCTGCAATACTACATCTTGTTTATTCCAACACATATATTTTAAATCTGTTCCCCGTGCATGTCGGATAAGACAAGTTTCATTGTAATAAAGATGTTAAGATATATATTTTTTTTAAATCAACTGTAATTTTTTATTGTGTTTTTTTTATTATTTCAAAACACTCTAACACAGATCGGGGATTAAAAGGTTACATTTGTAATACGCGTTTTATTTTATTTTGACGTCACAAATCTTAAAAGCAAAATTTAAGATCATTTAAATTTAATTTCATTATTTAGGCTAGAGATAATTAAGTAAGTTAGAAAAAAAATCAAATTTGCAAAACAAGACAAGGAGTTAGAAAAAAAATGTGCACCGATTCATTATTTTTTGAAAGATGTTATCGTATATTTACAACTGCTTTTGCAAATAAAAAGCAGGCTAACATTAATCAATATGTTTGCTAAAACTTTTGTAATTATGAGACTACATCTTTAAAAAATGATTCAATATGTGTGACAAGTCATTCTCCTTTATGCAATGTGTATACGATGGTTAATATACTAGTATATCCAAAAATTTGATGGACTACAACTTGAAATTTGTTATTTAATCAATAGGAAAAGTTTTAGGAGCTAATGATAAAATTTAAGAAAAGTTAGTGAAACAAAGAGGCTTATGATAAATGTTGTCGTTTGCAGGTCAAACACCAAGGTCAATATAAAAGTAGTTTTGGTACCAAAAGAAAAGTCCTCACAATGAGTCTACCTTCTAAAATAAAAACCATAAATGCAGCTATTGTTCAGTAATTATGACCAAAGTTAGAGATTTTCAAAAGTAGGTCAAACTGGATAAGGTCAAGGAGTCAATATTAATGATGCCCGTAAGAATTTTAGAAAGAATATTCAGATGAAATATAAAAGTCACGGAATCAACCATTCAAAAGTTATAACCAAAGTTTACAAAAGAAGATCAAAGTCTGATGTCCAAATAAAAGTATAAGACATAAAAAGAAAATATTGGTATTCAAGAGAAGCTCTTACCACAAGAAATGAATAGTTAACCCTAGCACTAAATATTCAGTAAATTCGTCCAAATTAACGTTTTTGAAAAGTAGGTCAAATCCATAAGATCAAGGTTAAAGGTCATTACTGTTTGTACTCAAGAGAAGGTCTTATCAAAATATGAGCGTGAGGAGTATGATATCACTTGATTTAACCGTGTAATAGCTACGCTAACATTAAAATTTTGAAAATTTCTTTAAACGTGAGTCAAACATAAAGGTCAAAGTCAAAAATACTTTTACCCTAGGAAAAGTTTTTACACGTTGAATACACCAGTGAAATATTAAAGCCATAGTTCATATGACCAAGGCTCAAATTCCAAATTCCAAAATGACCGTCAAACTAAAGAAAAAATCTATGAAATATGAAATCCTTAGCTCAAACCAATTAAAGGCTCTAGTCAGGGCTAATTGATTTCACCATTTACAGATAAATCAGGAAAAAAAATCACAAACAAACAGACAGATGGACCGACCGTCACAGCAAAATATATTTGCCCCTTATTTTTTGGATTACGGATAGAAATTTTAAAAACAACATTTTGTGCTAAAATGTTTGTATGTATGGTGAGAGAAGATCCCAATCAATTTCCTTGGGAAAATAACAAAACAATATAATGCACTGTCTGTCTTTGTGTACATGCTATTTATAGTTTATTTAAAACATGAGGATAAACCTAGATCTCTTCCGAGGAGACGAATATACAATCCGATGATGAATTTAGATCTCTTCCAAGGAGAGGAATATACGATCCGAGGATAAATCTAGATCTCTTACGAGGAGGGGGATATACGATCTGAGGATGAATCTAGATGACTTCCGAGGAGACGAATATACGATCCGACGTTAACTTAAGAATACTCCATTTAATGATTTAGAACTTTATAAACCATGCTTAATGAAATTATATAACAAAAGATAATGATTGCAAAGGTTTATTTTAATTAAAAGAGAATGAATCATTATGTAACAGAACACTCTTCATGTTCAAAATAAAATGGAGAATCCTCACAAATAAAGGGGGGTTTTAGTCCTTCTTCTCCTGTATAGTACGAGTAGTTTCTCTCTATCACCCAGCGCCATCTGCCGTCGTTATGATAAGTCAAAAGGAGGCCAAAGATTGGATCAACTGCCATCTCACCCTCATCGGTAGGATTTCAGTTCTGATACGTCACTGATGTCCGATTATCAAAAATGAGTCTTTCATTGTCATCAAATGTCAAAACATTAGCACGGAATGTATATGAACCGTTGGGTTCAACTTCTGCAGAAAAGGACAGGAAAAAAATGTATCATTCTAAAACACTTTTAACTTTGTCATACCTTGTTTGAATTAGGATTAATAATATCTTATCTAGAAAGATTTTCACTCAAATTATACAATATGCTTTAAAAGTTAAAAATCGATAAAACTGGTAATTTTCTTCGTATGCCAAGAGGAAATATCATCTCTTTGTGGAAGAGAATTCTTAGGAGATATGTTATTAAAAATTCAATATTTTGATACACTGCAAAAATGTATTTTAAACATTTTAAACTTTTTAACTTCACTCAATTTAGTGGACTGCAAGAAAATCGATAAAAGGTATTAATTTATTATGGTAAAAATTTGGAACTTTAATTTACTATGGCGAAAACTTTAGAAATTTGATTTACTTTGTCGAAAACTTTGGAACTTTGTTTTAGTTTGGAACATTGGTGAAAACTTTGGAACTTTGATTTAATATAGAAATAACCGTAACTTTGATTTACTATAGAAATAACTGTAACTTTGATTTACTATAGAAATAACTGTAACTTTGATTTACTATAGTAAGATATAGTTAACTATAATTTACTATAGTATTTGTTATTAGGGTTCCTCGGTCAACATTTAAGCATTGAATTCATATTTTTGGCTGTCTTCGGTACTATAACATACCTGGCCGTGCCGACAAATTGAATACCGCGCGTTAGCGCGGATTGATAAATTTGTCGGCACGGCCAGGTGTTATAGGACCGAAGAAAGCCAAAAATATGAATTCAATGCTTATATTAACATTCTCTAATTTTCCTTCTTCATAATTGCTTATTTCGTTAACATTTATATGAATTTAGCTTCAAAACTATCGTGGTTAATAGACGTAAAAGCCGTTTGTGACGTGAGATGACGTTGAGTGACGTTGCAAAGTTAAATTACGCAAACAAACATTGCGATTAAAAAAGTGACAAATTAATTCTTAACGCACATTACGTTAATTTTTCAGGGTTGTAGTTTTTCATTAAATTGAAATAAGACATTTTACATTTTGGTGTTTCTAGAGTATTGAAAATGCATATACTTCCTACTGTGTATTCTAACGCGCGGTGACAAGGTTTCGCATGTGTTATAGGAATTTGAACGTCGTGGATTTCTAAGGGATTTGGTAAGGAAAATTATACTGAATGTAAATATAATACTAAGGATACACAAGTCTGCATGTACAGTATTTTTTTTCAAAAATGAATACTTATATGAAGTCAATCATAAAATTATAGTTTATGGTTGCATGTATTAATTATTTTATGCCGCCATGAATGCTCAAAATTTAACGCAATTTCAAATTGATTTATCTCCAAGAGGCTTGTTTTAGTGCACATACATACCCTAAGATTCCGTTACAATCTATGTGTAGCTCGTACTTACTTAATGAAATTAAAACAGCAAATTATGTGAAAAAAATAATGAGTGCAAGTGTTTACTCTTTTTTATAAAGTTTAGATTTGTTGATGTAAATCTTGTCGACATAAATCATGTAGAGTTATCCTTCTTTAAACGTTTTAAATATTAGTTTTAATGGAAAGGGTTGATACGTATGCTTTATGTATAACGGATATTGATATTTGTAAAAGTTTAATATAGATCATAAAGTTAATTTACATTGTGAAAGTAATTAAAATAATTTATAAAGGATTCATCTTTGATTTTAACATCCTGCTATATAAGAGAGAGAGAGAGAGAGAGAGAGAGAGAGAGAGAGAGAGAGAGAGAGAGAGCACTCGCGCTCACCGACTTGTGGGGAACTCACACCTGACAAAGGACCTTTCTTATGGGGAAAGTTCAGAATTGTGGGGAACTCTCTCGTTCCCCACAAATATGGTCATGGGGTTTTTTGAATTCTACGTGTTCTACTGATAATATTTATTCGATTTGTGGTCATTTTTGAAAAAATCCCCATAAGTCCGTAAAATTGACTCGCAGTAATTTTCTCACTGCACCGTAAAACGAATGTTTGAGGATGCTGGGAAATGTTCATTCGGAACGCAGCGGAATTTAAACTGGTCCCCATATGATACCAATTTATTGCGGGCAATGGCTGCTCCGAGAATATGTGGTAAGTAGATTTTTTATCATATTTTAAAGATATTATAGGCTGAAAACTTAATTTAACTACGTAAATCATGCATGCAGTTATTTCTTACAGACGTTCGTAAAGTAACATTTAATAATGAATGCACGTAAAACTTTGGGAAAGTTTGACCCGACCTAGACCTCGGTTATTTTTTTTTTTAATTGTATCATGTTTATAGGCCTAATGGCTATCCTGTAAGAACAAACTACGGATTTATATGAATTCAGCACCCCCGGGATATGGTAAGCGTTTAAGGCTTGTCCCCATTTTTTGTGAAACGCGACTATCCTCCTCATGCCCATACAAATTATGCTAGACGGTGCGACTATCTGGTCTTTAGCTGTTTAGTGAGGCCTGTGTGGGCGAATTCATTGTAAAAGTTAATCTGACTTAAACTGTACGTGTATTTATAAACGATGTCAGTCACACACTGACTCAGTGTCAGAAATGTATCACAGAGAACTCCACCTTTTCAAAAGGTCCATTGAAATCAGTACATTTATAGATTTACGTAGCTAAAATTTCTTAGCTTGGTTAGATTATTTAACATGTTTAATTCTTCCAAAAAAAGCTTGATTTAGTTATCGTTTTTTTTATCAAGTCATTCTTCCTACTTGTATATATTTCTTCGCATGCGTTGGTTTGCATAGTGTCCATTTCCCTTCATTATCTTTCACCTGCACCCTGTTCTACATTCATCCTGATTGCCCTACTGAAAATATTTTCATGATTTTAGACCATCATTATCGATGTATCATAAGTATTTTTTTTATTTTGCTAAGGCCAAGATAAATAGATAGTGTTTCCTATTTTAACCTTAGAAAAGATAGGGTAGGTAGGTAGGAAAAACATTTTTATTTTATTTTAACATTTTATTGGCAGGCACGCTGCCACTTTCCCCCAGGATTTCACTGTCAAAATATTTCTGATTAATATGTGTAAGATATGCATTTCTCAAACATGGAAGTGATCAAGATTGGGATTTCATTTCTAATTGTAAACTGGAATTCCGAATACTGTAATATGTGTATATAATTTGGTGCTTTCAAAATTTAGCATAATCACTGGGTTGGCATAATCATAAATTAGCGCTACACATGTATGTGCGGTGTATTGTATATATTAATATGTAAATGATTTCTTAGCAGTATTCATGAATTAGTGCATTGTTGTCTGCACCAAAGCCGCTAAAATATGAAGCCTGCATTTTAAAGTATACATACAGTAGTTTACTCATGGAAAGATATTAGCAGAAAAAATATTGAGGGTCGGCTCCTATACTTCTTAGAGTTAGGCGGGGAACTAAACATGCTGAAAACACACTACTTATTTATTTAGGCCCAATTAACAGTCAGGGGCATAACTTAAACAAGTTATTTTCAAAAATAACTCAAATAAGTTATTTTTTTGTCTCAATGAGTTACTTCTCTTTGCTATGACCTACTTTTTCCCAACCTTAATAACTCAAACACGTTATTTTTCCAAAATAGCTTCAATAAATAAATAACTTATTTAAGTTATTTTGTGTCATTCCTTCCTAACTTCACATCCCGTGCACCAAAGGATTTTGCTCGTGCACCAAGACAAAAACAAATGTTTGACTAAATATAAACCTTGCTCAATGCACAAAAAGTGTTCAAAGTCTTGGGAAAAGTGGGGAATTTTTTTTATTTAATGATTAAAATTGGACATATACATCATGTGGATAAAACCACAAAATAAGGAGTAAAATGCTGTTTATCTCCACGTCCTCACCAATTCTCTATTGGAGTCAGTGAACTTTATCTAGTATTACATAATGGAATCCCAAAATGCAATGCAAATTGGCAAGAAATACGAAATTTCCAAGAAAACAAAGTCCAAGTAGGATATAAAAATAACTTATTTAAGTTATTTTTCAAAAAAAAAATTCTGTGTGTGAAATAATGTAAAATAACTCATTTGAGTTATTTTTGAAAATAACTTGTTTGAGTTATGCCCCTGACTGATTAAAATGTCTAATAAATTCATTTTAATTAAATACTTATTGTTAATTAAAGATCACCTTTTATTTTTAAAATTTGTTACAATTCAAACCTTGGCCTTGGGGTTTAGATGCTGATGGAATAAACAAGAAACAAAATCATATGTAAAAAATAACTAAAAATCCTTTTCAAAACCTCAATTACTATTGAATTATGATTGGGCGTGGTATACAAAATAATGCGAATTGGAGGAAATGGAGAAACATAGTAATAACAATTAGATCAGCTTTTATGATAGCGAGCATATATTAAAAATTTAAAATTGAAAATTGAAAGGTAATGTTGAGATTTTAAGATTCCATATCTATTATTCATAATTATTTATATTTGCTTAACTGAATTTATACCGGATCTTTTTAAATTTATTTACATATAACGATCGCGCTCAAAGTTTTGGGTCTGATAATGCTTCCTGATTTTGGTCTTTTATTTTTTTTTTTAAGAAAACCATTTGATTTCTGCACCCACTCCTCTTTTCTAAAAATTTTTAATCTGCCTCTGGTAACTTTACACTGTAAATTTCTATTCTCATTTTAATTAAATTTAAATAAATACTAACAGCACTATCATGCAATTTCAATGACTATCATTTAAGGTATTGATTCAGTTTTCTGTCATTCCTAAAAATAAGTTGTACTGTATCGTTGATTTTTTGCATATAAAACAGTTTCTGCTCATCAAACATCCACGAGAAAGTGTTCTGTTTCGCAGTTATTGTACGGTTGACTTAAAAGGGAAAGCTCTCTGGGCCATGTCACAAGAAGGAAAAAAGTAAAATATTTTTCATACCTACCTACCCACTGTTCAGGAAAGGGCATACATTAAGTCTTAATTTTGGCATGCCGCATGGGGTCAAAAATTACTATTGAGTGATGTGGAGATATACCTGTCTTGTAATTATAGGTAAAGATATGAACACTTTAAAAAAAATATACAATGAAATCTTTGAACTGAAAGCAAAATTATCATTGCAGGTTTTCGGGTTTTCACCACAAGAGCAAATTATACAACTTTATTCTTGAAAATGTTAGAGACTGAGACAAAGTCAACAGACACGCTTGCATGGACATGAAGGATGTAAAGAACTAGAGTATTATAACTGAAAGCATTTTGTCTGGATTTGTGTATGGAAACAGAAGG